ATGATTAAGAGAATTCTGATAAGTCAGTTACTGATAATATTAAAATATCAGCTGCTGATATAATTACTGTTATTATTACTGATTAATTTATTAATTCTGATTCAGTAATTAATATATCTTATAAATACAGTAACTTTGAAATGAATTCATTTATTCTGATAATAAGACTATGAGCTGAAGAGTCAGATATTTTCTGAAAAAACTACAAATCACTACTATAAATTCTGTATTTATTGAAGAATATATCATTAATAAGTCTACTCTCTGAAGATCTATCAACTCTGAAAAAGTAATACAGAGTATAATTTCTGATTTTATCAGTCAAGAAAACCTTAATTTCAATAGTATTATTAATATAAATATTAACTCTGAGTTCTGCTTAGAAAAATCTTATTAAATTCTTTATAAGATTACTCTACTTTTAAAATCTGATTCTCTTGATATCTACTCTTCTTAAATTCTCAACTTTTCAGTGACAAATGTATATAGAAATGACAGAAATTATCAATAATTTCACAGAGTTATAACAATCTCACAGTTAAGAGAGCTCAGTTAAATATTATTCTAATAACTTTGTATAATATTTATTAAATAAATCTATTTTTTCTTCTGATTTTATTCAGTATCAGTGTGAGAATCTTGAATACTTTTATAAATCAGAGTTGAATAATATATCTCATATTAAGAGAGTGTATTTTATCAGATATAATTATTAATATTCAGATATAAAATCTTATATAATAGTTCTAAAAGTTTAAGAAGCTGTTCACTATACTTTACAGACTGTATAAAGATTATCATTTTTAAATTCATTATTTAGTCTCTTTGAAATAGTCATAATAAAGAATGAGATGAAATATATCTTAATTATTCAAGTTCTTAATTAACTTAATATTTATATAAATATAGTATTTAAATCAGATTCTGATCTGTCAGTATATAAGAGTCAAGATCAGTATTTTCTTCATCAGATTATAAGAATTAGAACTGAAGTTATTAAGATATAATTATATTATAAATCTTCACTAATTCAGACTGAGTTGAAAATTACAGCATATAATTAAGATCTTTTAAAAAGTATATTTTACTCTGATATACAAGTTATTTCTCTGCTATATTAATTATTTATTAATGAATTTAATTTATATTAAAATATGTGCTAAAGCTTGATAAGTTTTTATATAATTTCTACACTAAGTGCTGTTAAGTATTTAAAGTAAAATAATATTTTTACTCTAATCTTTGATTCTTATAGTATCAATTTTTCTGACACTGTTACTGTATTATTATATGACTTATCTATATTAAATTATAAGAGAGTTATAATAAATATCAGTGAAGAAAAGATGAGAATTATTATATCTTATATTATATTTTTTAAAGATATACTGTAGTAAAATAGTAATACAGAGATTAAAGAATTAACTATAAGAAGATTATACTGAAACTGCTTTATTAATAATAAAAATCAGCTGAATCTGAACTATAATCTATATAATAACAGTTAATTTCATTATTATATACAATATCTTCAGTCTAAACTGAATAATCTATCAAATCTCATATATAGAGAGTAAATGTGTCAAGAGCAGAGTATAACAGCATAGATAATATCTCTTTTTTAAATATATTTAAGTTTGAATTTAATCTTCTTTTTTTCTTCTGATTCATGTCATAGTGAGTTTATTAAAATATTAAAAATTTCATACTTATTACTGATTTACTCTATTTTATTATTATATAATTAGTTAGAATACTTCTGAATATTACAGATATTCTCTTTTTCTTATAATTGAAATTATTTATAGTTATTAATCACTCATCTGAGTCATCTTAAGAAGTATTAACTTTAAAAGTATATTTAAATCTTAATTATTATATCTCTTATCTTACAGTGTAAGCTCAGAGAGAAATAACTCAGTCTGATAATTAAGTAGATTATTTCTATAACATTTTCACCAGTAAATCAATCACTCATTAATCTTATTATTCAGATATATATAGCTATTATAAGAAATAATAGTTTATTAATTTCTTAATTATCAAGATAAAATGATTCTGAAGTAACTTATTAAATTATACTAAAAGTTAACTAATAACTATAATTTCTTATTAAAGCAGCAGTCAGAGTAATAATAATATTTAAGTTATTTTAAGCTAATTCAGTTATTAGTTATCAGTTATTTCCTGCTTTAACTATAAGTACTGTTATTATATATATCAGTAATTATACAAAAAAAGCAAAGCTTATATAATATATGAAGAGATAGTTAAATATATATATTAATTTACACTATATTAAGTAGATTAAAGAATATATAGTATTTAATAACTGTAATATTCTGATAGAAGAGAATAAGTATTAAGACTATAAAAATCTAGTGTAATGAATAAATTATTAAGATATAAAAAAGATACTACTCTTATAGAAGAGCTTTCACTGAACTTTATAACTAGTATTAAAAAATTTCTTTAACAGCTCTGATATATATCTGATGCAGAAGATTTAAAATTTATATACAGTTTATTCAGCACTGTTCAATAATCTACTGAGAATAAATAAAGAAGTTAAAGATAAGAATGATAATTCACTGAACTACTTTGTTAAATTAAAGTTAATAAAAGATTATATTACTCTGAAGATTTTTAATTATCTATTATTAAATAAAATATTAGAGAAAGTTAATTTATAATTTATAAATCTCTTCAAGCTTGAGGCCCGGTGGTGTAGTGATTAACTACGCTATCATGAAGCCTTAATTAGCGGCCTTTCTCTCAGGGAATAAATGCTAAGAGAGAGTAGGTTCAAACTCTGTGAGAGTCATCTTAATTACAGCTTTCACTGTTAAGTTATAAAACAGTATCAGAGACTCTCAGATACACTATAGTGAATTATTATCAAGCTTAAAATGTTCATCTCAGAGATTCTCAGACACTAATTCTCACTGATCTTAGAATTAACAGTTTCTCAGACACTTTAAGTTAGATCAGTACTAGAGTAATTGAGATCTAGAGTGTCTGTAGAATAGTGAATCATTATTAAGCTTAACTGACTAGATCTCATTTCTCTCACTCTAGATACTTACTTTTAAAAAATGAGATTTAAAAACTATCTGATTAAAACACTCTGAGTCTAGTAAGAACCTAGATAAGATAAGATCTAGATACTCTTAATAGATGATTAATATAAACAAGACTGTGACAGTCAATTAATAGGCTGAAATACTGAGATTGACAGCTGAAAGATTAGAGACTTAACTAGAATTAAGTAGCTCTGATATTATTCTTAGTAAGAATTCTACTTATAAGTAAGCTAGTTATAGAAGCTAGCTGAGCAGCAGCTCTTTAGAGAAAATGATAATCTCTGAAGTGAGTCTGAGAGAACAGAGACAGTGATCAGTTATATAGAGTGTTAAAATATATATATAGCTTAAGATATAAACTACAGAGATCTTGTTCTATAGCTCTCTTTACTATACTTATTTCTTTCTGTTCTTTTCTATCTATCTATTTAATATATCTATCTTTAAGACTATGTTCTCTTTTTCTTTATCATGATATTTTCAAATGATTTCAAAGTATTAATAGATGTTGAAATACTGTAATTTATAAACAGTTTTTGTATTCTGAGCTGAAATTTTCTGATTTTATATATCTAAAATTAATAAGTGTATAATAGTTGACTCTATAGATATAGAAAAAACTCTGAGAATTAAAGATTCTCAGATAAATGTCATAGTTTCTGACTGTATACATCTATAATTAAAGAATAATAATAATAATAATCTTCAAGCTTGAATTACTTTATTTATTTCTTAATAAGCTATGAGAATTCTATGACACTGATTAAAATAAGCTCTTAGTTTTAAAATCAGATCACTGTTCAATACTTTTCTATAATAAGTTAACATTTTTAGTTCAGTATATCTATTCAATTAATTAATTAATTAATTAATCAATTAATCAATTAGTTATTAACTTATTAATATATAAACTAGAGATTGTATTCACTGAATCTCTCTTATAAAAGAGAATATTATTCAATATTAAGAGATAGAGCTTGACTGAATTACAATTATATTTATTTATAAAATGAGAGAAGTTAAGTAAATTTTCTTTATACTTATTTCTCTATATTATATCATATATAATTATCTACTGAATCTATCAATTTTATAAGAGAATTCTGATAATTACACTATTATCAGACTGCTGATAATTTAAAAGACAGTATTATATAATATTTTAATACAGAATAGTGATAAAAATAATAATTATTTAATATATAAGTCTCAGATAATAAGATATTTATATTATAATTAAAATATCTTATTTCTTTAAATAGAATAGATAGTTAATGAATAGCAGCTGTTGTATTGAGTAATAGATAATTAACTAGCTTAATAGTATTAATTTCACTGATAGAATAGTATACAGTGTCTTATAGTATCTTAGTAGTATTCTGATAATAATATTATCAATTACACAGTTACTGAGTAGTGTCATGATGATATTAGAAAGTTCTGCATCATCTCAATATCATCTTGACATTTAATATTCAGTGACATGTTGCTGAATATAATGATGGAACATGTGTTACAATCGGCGACACGTGACACGGGTGGAATGGTGGATCCACGGTGTAATCACCGTAAATTAACCCTACGTTCTTCCCATATGGTAGTTACTTTCCCCAGCTTCTAGCCGCCCAAAGTCCGATCTGGCTGGGGCTTATGCAGGGATCAAAACCACCACCGTCAATGATGCTTTAATTCTCGACCTCCTGGGCCCAACTTCCTTAGTGGTTGATAAAAGTCTGGCGCATTCCTCGCGATATCCACGGCTCCGAACCCCTGTTTGCAAGTGAATTCACCATCCTTAGTGAGCTGGATATGACTCCTGTTCTTGATTGACGGGTTATGGGATCCCCACTCATGAGATATTTATTCTTTGCGATCCTTTCCTAGAAGAGATAACTACCTACCGCAATATTGAACGGTATGAACAACATGAACGGTGCGAGTATTCGCTCCAGTCTCTCCTCCTATGGGGATCCGAAATATGCCTCCTCAATCTCAGTGCTGGGGGTACTTCCTCCTCCTTCCAAGGCTCTCGTCGATGGGTATAGGAGTGGTCTTGACTCCATTCAGGATGAGATCCCGCGATACAATCCGGTAAGTCCCACAATTACCCAATTTCCCACGGCCACGTCTATAGGAAAGTGTGGTCCTAACATATTTTGAACGTTCCTGGTTTGCTCTCTACTACTCTAGCTCAATGCCTCTCACTCGAGAAGTTCAGTCCTTTTAAACGCGAACGATCCGGTTGTTTTGCACCTCCTCACGGAGACCGCCATAGGGGACAGTATGCATTTTGAGGTACTATCCTTTGAAGAAGCGGAGGGCCTTAAAAAGGAGCTCCTACTACTCACAAACCGCATTGATTCCTCAAAGCGGAAATTAGCCTTGGAAATGAAACTACGGGATGCAGCTCTATCGCTCAGCAGGCTATCAGATGGCCAATCGGGGCGCGACAGTGGGGAAATGTACGGGGCACTTTCACCAAAGTCGGCACGTAAGCGCATGAGTTTCCTTGACCGGAATAGTTGGGGAGAACAGAACCGCTCGGACAGCGAGCTTGCTATAAGCACGCGCAAATGCGAAGAATTAGCGCAGGAGCTTTGGAAGCTCGAACGCAGGGCCAGTGAGCTGAGGAGAAGGCTTTTAGAGCACACTGCGGGCGTGCTGCAAATGACACATAAAGGCCTTAAGAAAAGGCCAGCTGCGGGTAACAACCTTCCTCGAAGCCAGGACATCGTGTATGGCGCACGAGATCATAGTGCGCATCCCGTTCCTCCCCACGAATTTGATAATCGAAGCCTTTACTGGACTGCGGATCATCTCGATGAATATGGAAGGCCTTATGGCCCGGGGAATATGCCACGTTCACTAAACGAAGAATCTAGATCAATTGATATGACAGTGATACACAACACCGAGAAAAAACTGGAGGACCTAAGCAATCGTTTACGCCAGATGCTCTTACAAGCCAATTCAGATGAGGATGTGGATCCTGTACCCAATTCCCGTGGCGGTGAATCTAGAGATCCCGTGGCTGGAATGGAAGCGCACCTTGCGTACCTTGAACGCAATTTAAGTTCCATAGCACACCAACAACCCAAGGAACCGTCCCAAGAATCAAATGAGATACCAGAATTTGTGTATGATGCGGAAGAGAAACTGGAGCAGGTGAACCTACGGCTTGACAGCATCCTCAAGACCTCTGGCTCCCACTCTCCCCTTACATCATTTCCACCAGGCCCCAGAAGAACTTTGCAGGAACAACTTGACTACCTTGAACCTAATATTGACATCATCCAGCAACGAGTGGAGAGCCTAGCCGAACAGAAAACCATTCTCACAACTCAAATACAACAACAAAGAGAACTCAATTCGAAATCAGATGCAGAGAGAGATGCCCATTTTGCCGAACTCCATGAACAGATAGCTATCCTAAAGAAGGATTTAGATATTTCACAGAGAGATGCTAGTGGCACTAGAGACGAGCTTACTTTGGTAATGGATCAACTTGACGCTGCTCGACAAGAATCGATGATTCGGGAACAGCAGCGTACTGAAGAGGACGCGAAGGCCTTATCCAGCGTGAAGGAAGCTAGGATGAAAGCCGAGGAGGAGCTGTCCGCCAAAAACGACATAATCGCTCAGTTAGAAGGTTCTCTGCAGAAAGAGCGTGACGAGAAAGAGTCGAAAAGAATGGAAGCCCTTGCAGCGAAAGAGTCCTCGGACAAAGCACTTCAAAAACTGCAGTCAGAATACGACGAGCTCGAAAGTGAAATGATCCGTGTCCGAACGGAGCTCACAATGGTGCAGGCAGAACTTGATGGTGCCTACGGGAGCCGTGCTGAACGCGCAGCTCAAGTGGCAGCAAATCCGGCGATTCAAAAAGAAATTGACGATCTCAATCAGCTCAATAGGAGCCTCACAGAGGAAATCTCCATTCTTCGGGCGGAACAACTCAACAACAGCAATGACGGTGATGGAAAATCTGGCCTCCAGACAAGAATTCAGATGCTGGAAAAGGAACTTAGAGATACGATTGACGATTATGAAGTAATGACAAAGGCCAGCATTGAGTTTGAGAAGGAGCGTGACAAACTCGAGACCTTCATTGACAACCTTCGCGATCGCTGTGAGAGCCTCGAGTCAAAGCTCTGTGAGGAACGAGTGCAAAACCTGGGGAATAGTAGCCCTGGCTACGCGAACGGGTTTGACAGGGGCGCTTCCGAAACAACGTCCACCATGGTGCTCAAAAATGAATTTAAGAAGATGATGCGCGATACCCGGGCTGAAAATATGCGACTTCTAAAGGTATGTTTGCATTATTGTATATGAGAGGAAATGTAATCGTAAAAGCAGTTCGCTAACCATGCTCCTCTCTTGTGTAGGCTGAACAAGAAGAAAGACGGCGACTGGAAGCTTTGATCCGAAACCTCCGGAAGGAGCAGAGCGTTGGAAAGTCGAACCTGAGCCAGAGCACCATTTCATCTTGATATCTTCACTCTTCGTCGGTTCTTTTCCGGTACCACATATTTTAATATTTTATCTCCGACATGACTTCTTTTAATCTATTTACTGCTCTTTTGGCTCGCGTTCAATCAGTATACCTATACCCATTTTACAATCAGGGAGGTTCTTGCATCGCCTCTCTTGGTTTTTCTTTCTTACAATATTATGATCTGTGTGAATGTTTTTGGGTAGCGCGATCTCAGGGGCTGAAAGCTATAGATGGGGCCGACATATGAATATTTCGCATAATATTTTGGCGTTCCTAAAAGTAATGAGCAATATCTGTGTTTCCTTCTTTTTATGTTGAAAGTGTATCTTTCCCTAGTCGCGAGTTCTTCCAAATTGAGAGAAATGGGTGGAAGTGACAAGGCTCTTTCCTTCCCGCCCAGGACACGCTCTATTACCATTTTTGAATCCATTTTCATCTCTTGATTTCCATTCTCTCCCATGTTCAGGTTTTGTTCCGACCGGATGATCGCTTAGCACTCATATTTCCCCCTTGGATGAGGGGTGTCTATCGTTTAACTCCCCCCTATGCCTCATCTTGACCACAAGCATGACCTCTTTTCCACACCGGCGGGCTCCCGCCATTACCCACACCAACGACCTATACAATCGAATCCGATCCCGTTCGTTTGAAATCGATGGGCCCCGACGGAGCAAACTTCGTCGCGTGGTTTCAACGAAGAGCATCAGTCAGTACATGGATTCTTCAGAATCTGTACCTAGTGAGCACAGCTCGCTCTTCGATGCGGTCCTAGCCAGCTTTGAATCAGATGGTAGTAGGAGGCAGTCTGAACTTGACCGGTCAGAAGACCCTGGTCCGTCGAACTATATACCAACCACGCTCGGGAGGGAAGATGCCGGTATATTTAATTCGCGCCTAGCTCACTCACATGGAAAATGGCCGGGAAAGAAACTGGAGACCATAGTTGAGCAAAAGAGTGCATCTACGCTCAAAGCTTCACGAATATTCTCTGTCGGTGATGTTGACGGACCTGGCATAAATCCGTCATTGACTACACGAAGGGCTTTATCCAACCCTCCTGATCCTTTTGGTCGGAAGGTTTATTCCTTCGATGATCTTGACCTCCCAACTCGCCGTCCAAAAGATGCGGTCTCGCGTCTCCCAAACCGATCGTCGTCTTCTGGAGCGAGCTTCGAGTTGCGCGGTTTGCTTCCTCATACTTCCCCTGTCGAACCTACCCAACCGCTATATCCTCCCCCTGTTCGATCCCCAACTCCGCCAGGCCTCCCGTCTTTTGGCTCGCGGGAAGCTATCCACTATAATCCGATCCAGGCCAACCGCTCTCGTCCTTCAAACCACCAGGGCCCAGCATCACGCAGAGGGACGCAGCAAAGTTTAGCAGCAGATGATGAAGAAGACGACTCATGTTGTGCTTCTGGCTTTCAGCGCCTCTTTGGTCTACCGTCCTGCATGGTAGCTAGACAACCTGCGCTTCCTAACGGTGCCGTTGCCAGGGCTGATGACGGTACAATGGTTCGTGGTCGATTTGGCGCCAGACAAAGTGGACATGGTGTTGGAGCTGGCCCAACCTCACAAGGGCTAGAGAGCCATCCTTTCCATAGAAGCTCCTTACCAGCTGCCAGAGTCAAAGATAGAGGCGATGCCACATCAGTTACGGCCGTTGTCGGCCAACAAAATAGTCACAGGACTTGTACTTCACCTTCCCAAACAAACCAAGGTTACTCTTCCCCACAAACCATGCCGCAATCATATTCCTCCCTCCTACGGACCCATAATGCGCCGCACCTAGTGCCGCCACGGCGGTCTTGCCCAACTACAAGGAATTGTGCGACGGGTAGTGCTACTTCTGTCCCTCTCCCATCATATATTGCTCATAGAAGGCTCGAGGGCCCCCTCCCACGTTCTTCTGAAATGATCCATCCCTCCAATAGTACCAGTGGCTTATATACGCCTGGCCCTGATGGTGGAGGGAATGACGGTACCTCAACCACTTTTGCCTCAGTCACGCTTACCTCTAGCCAGCCCAATCCCTCGCTTGAAATTCCTGAGTCTCGCCATGGGCAGAGGATGTCAAGGCAATCTGCTATGATTACGGATAGCAAAACGGCCGGACTTTGGGACTGGCTTTTTATGGATTGCTTCTTTGTCTGCTGTGGATTATTCAGCGGCAACAAGCCTTCACAGAGTCAAAACCAACTTTCTTCGCAACAGCACAGTCGTTCTGCACTGGATCCAACTGTAACATCGGCAACGGCGACAGGCGAGCAAATTCAAGCGTCATTACACAGTAGTCATGACCATTATCGTCGTCGGGAAATGTCTTCTTCCACCCCGTGGACACCTGCGTGGGGATGGCAGCCTCGATGCTTTGGTGGTGATGCTACAATGGATGAAGAAATTGAAGTTGAAACCGCGACTGAGATGCGGATAATGCGGCCGATAAGGGCTCAAGCCACTGCCGTTAGAAATTAGGGCTAATTACGGTCCTTCCTCTCCTAACCAGTCAGAGTAACCATTGAAAGACTGTTACTTAGTTTTCACAAAGGTTATACAGGGTGTCAGTGGCCTCACTTGCGGTTATTGACTGGTGGACGATATTTGGCTGTCGCAAGGGGTGGGTCCGTTCCGCGGGCCGCTAGCTATGCCCAATAGCCAGACCTTGTCATTGTTCATTCTATTGCGGAGAAGCGGCCGGAATCCCCCTCGATCCTGCTAACAATTGGTATGGGAGTTTTGAGGAGTGGGCGTGTTCATCATCCATAATGTGAGATCCCAAATGGATACACTGCAACTACTGCTTACCTTTAGCAAGTTTTTTCAAGCAACTGTTAGCAGACATGGAAATGAATGAAGCATCGTGTATTTTTATACCTACCTATATTTAATATGTACCTAAACGCCTGCTTCTTCGCCTGGGTTGGTTGACTCGTAACTGGGTAATAACACGGAGCGGTAGATGTAAAGAATAGACAGCCGATTTCTCAATGGAGGTACATGTATTTTTCAGAGTTGAATTGAGCTGACTCGCACGTATTTCAACCTCGACCGAGATAAGATGTTGGCAGTCGACTTCCAGTTCATAAGCTAAGCTGTCAAAACATGTGATTTTTATTAAGGTAGTTAACTTACAGCGGTCTATAGCGACATTTGAGTCAAATGAATTATTTAGTCAGTATTGACTTTCAGACTATGAGCTTCACCCCACAGATCTCACAACATTCTCAGAAGCCCAGCTATAGACAGAGGAAGATAGAGCCCTTCAGGTATAGAGCTCTCTCAAGTATAGAAGCTTTCTGAGTATAGAGTTCTCTGAGTATAGAAATCCCCAGGTATAGAGACTCTCTTGAGTTACAGACTCTCTGAATAGAGGCTAGCCTGAGTATACACTGTAGAGACTGTCCCAGGTAAGAGACTCTCTAAGTAGAGAGGCTGTCAGGTCTAGAACTCTTCTCTGATGTGAGTCACAATTTTATATAATTTTCAATGAGAAGGTCTTGATTAACAATAAAATCAGTATCATCAATGTGTGTTTATTGTAATGCTAGTATAAAATACTCAAACATCACTATAAAGCTGCAACAGACATGTGCTGAGTATACAATGAAAGCAATGTTTTGATACTAGTGAATCGTGATCATTGCTCTCTAGATGTTACATGTACACACCAGTTTAGACAACACACCTCTCCATTACTTCTATATGTCAATGTGGGCTGTCTCCATGTGTAAAAAGCATAGTCAAAAACCAAGAAAATTATATCAGCTCTTACTCCCCTTGCTAACAATCTAACTTCTACAGATGGGATTTGATGCTACAGGATCTATGCATAGTATCAAGCAGTCCAAAACATATCATAGCATGGTCTATTTGACAATTTTAGAGAGTTTGTTTTGACATGAGATCAGAAATGGAAGAGCATAGAGATGAAAGAGATTCCATCTCAGGCGTTCATTGAATAAAGGATACCCTTTCCCGGTCCCCCATACAGGAACAGCCACGAACCCGGTCCACCTCCCAAGAGGACTTTTGAATATAATTCCAATTCTCGCACCTTGGCAGACAATGCTGGCTCCTGTTATAATTTGTCCTGAAATCCAATATGCCACGGGGGTTGCTGGGTATGAAAGGAGGGCAAATTCTCCGCTCCCTACGAACGAATACAACAACAGAGCTGAACTTCACGAAAGGCATCTTCAACACAGCTTCCTGAATGCTAAGCCCTGTCTCAGCGATTTTTGACCTGCAGTGCTGAGGTCATAGATTTGAGTCGCAGTGGAACCACGAACTATTTTTGAACTATTTTCTGAGGCTGCTCTTTGGATGCTCGCCTGCAAAAAGTATGGCTCAAGCCCATAGTTACCCAGGCCAATCATTGCTCTCTGCATACGTGTCATCCACAGCCCTCGCGAGCTCTATCCGTGGACAAGATGGGGCTATCCCAGGTATTCAATGGGTTTTATTTTGAGGCTGTGAACTGTCGGGAATGAGGCAGGTTTTTATATATTATTAGATGAATTTTGCAAGGCTCAATCAACATACAAGAAAATTACCTATAACTATTGGTTAGCAAGTTGTTTGAAGCTCACTTTTTTGAATTTGCTGGTGTCTCTCACTCTCATACTAGCTTCTATATGAGCCTCACAATGTACATATGGCTGCATGAAACTGGAATAATAATAAATTATGACAATCTATACAGATGCTCCTGTGAAAAGTTTTTGACTTGCACTAAGAATTTAAGAGAAATACGGAGTGATATCAAGCATTATTATGTAAGTATTGCTGTTCCATCTCTTAATTAGGGGGGCTTATAGAGGCCAACCCCCCTAGCTTGCTTACTAGCTGAACTGCTTAAATCCCAGGTGGTGTGGCTTGGAGATTCATTACACTAGTAAGCATATTTCCTTTAGTGTGGGATAATACTGTGTATATGATTCAATCAGTATTAATAAATTTCAAACTATCATAGGTGGGGTGGGGTGGCTATAAAAAGTATAGTTACAGGTCCTGTAAGTTACCTGAGATACACAGAACGAAATTACTACGCTGAGAGTTGAATCCCCAACCATTCTCTCCCATACTCTAGGATTTAAATTTGCTGTCCTCTTTTTTCTCAAACTATTCAACTTGGCTACGTTAATAAAAGGTCAGATATTGCTTGCAAGGACTGGCGGAAGAATGCACATGCGAGTAATCTGTATAGACATTATCGACTCGATAGGGTCTCTCGTCCTGTTCTAGACTCCTGCATTTCACCTCATCTTACTCGAACCAACCCACCACTTTGGAACTTTATGAATAGAATCTAGGACTGCAGTCAATTTCAGATACCTCCTCGCTGGCTTAGCACATGGTACCTTTCCAAACTCCGCTATTCGAATCATCTAGCTAATTACAATACAGGTAAACAAACGAATGGGGTAAATCTTCACAGTTGGTCTATGGATAGCTAGGAAACGGTATGCCTAGCTTGTAACGGCGATGTGTATGCCAGATGCCTCGGGGCAAAATACGCTGATGGATAGTCATTGGGCTCCTATGCCAATATCTTGTTTCTTAAGGGCGTTTAAACGTCTGGAAATCCATCTCCTTGTAGCAATAATAGTCATCCCGGGCTCCTTGGCTAGAGCCGCCATTGCAGCGCCTTCGCCTGCCGCCGATCTTGCCCATGGCACGACTGCCGAGTTAGCTCTGCAGGGCTGCCAAACAATTGCCCCTACGACCTTCGATTTGCTTGACATAAACAATCCCGACTTACCAATCGAGTTCGACTGGTTCTTCACCGTCGCGCGCAGAGACGGCGTGAACACGAGAATCACTGCCTTTACTTTCGAAGGAATCCCGGCAGGCGCAACGGGTTGCATGCTAGCCTTCGACAGCCCCAAGCCTACTTCCGAAGGCCAGTACGGCTACGGTCCGAGTGTCACGGTAGATATCTGGTCCACGCAGCCATGGACGATACCGCATTCCCCGACGTATTCCAAGCAACCCCCAAGGGACCAGCTGGTCGCCACTTTGAATGTACCTATATCTGAGGAGCAGGAGGCATTCCATACTATCCTCGCCAGCAATACATGTTCGCATACCATGAGCTTTCTTGCGGAATATAGCCCGTGGCAAAAAGGGGACGGCATGGCGTTTTGGCTGAATCAACCAGGTACTGTTGGCTTTTCGATGGTATTTAACTGTTGACAGCCTTCGTCTGAGGGGTCCTACCTAACATGACAAAGATATCTTCCGCCTCTATGGTTAGAGGGGGTCTTGATTGATGAATCCGGCCTCGATTGTGTTGTTTAGATTCTAATCCCAAATAAAACCCTGAAATTACCCAGATACTTCAACACGTGTAAAACTTTATTATACTTGCTCATTCTTCAACTGCGAATATCATATGCAGAGCCCTTCAGTAAACTCCAGTACATTTCGAGGAGTATTCTAGTGTAAAATAAAATATATAGCATAGCGAGTCATCTCATCGCAGGAGTACTTACTTACACATGCACAACAGTCTTGAGCAACCGGCATCGCAGGCCCATGAGAGTGTTTCCATGGAAGCACAAAAAGTTGAGTGGGGCTAAAGCAATATGAATTTATTCTTAGCAGGAAAGGAAGTCTGGGTTTGACCCTGGTATAAATATCATGCGTACCAAAACCGAAACCGCCAGGGAAACAGTAGCAAACATGAAACAAAGAAAATACACACATCCCCTTTAAAAGAGATAAATGTTCAGGCAATCAACTTGGATGGTATACTTCATCGATGCGAGAAAAAAGGACGCTTCAAATCGCTGGAGGAAGGAAAATATGGATTCGCGCTTGCTAGGAGATGTATGCATTTTGGAAAGAGGCTCAAAAAATGGCAATATAGCAAGACGTGTAACTAGCATCGGTATCCAAAGGAAGCGGGTGGAGAGTAGCACAAAGGCACTGGAAGATTCAAAAAGATCTTGAATCTTGAATGGCTGGTTGGCAATATATGTAAAATCTGGGGGTCGAGCTCAAAGACCAGTGAAGAACTGACAAGCCCACTCAAGCTCCTGGTCACCACACGCAAAGTCCCAGCCTACAATTCTGTGATCCAGGCTAGCACATATAAGCTGGCGTGCGTCAAACTGCAATTTGAAAATTCTAGCTGTAGGGTGGGGAGCGGGAACAGGCAACGGTCTGTTAGCGCCGAGCAGTGGACCCTGAGCTTGTTGAAGTGGTTGGGAAGGGTGTTGATTCATTGCATTCAGGTAAGGTGATCCTGCATCGTTAGCGATGCCCATCGTGATGGGCCTATTGGACTGAATTGCCGCTGAGGCGGGGGTGGTTTGCTGGGACGATTGGGACATGGGATGTGGTCCCATAAGACCCTGTGGGGATTGACCCGGGAGAGGGGGAATCGGCTGGTTGGCTAGGGCAGGGTCCGGAATTACATTTGCAGCGGCTGCTCTGGCAGCTTCATCCTGACGGAGTCTTTGCCCAATAACCCACTTTCCCTCTTGGTCCTTTTTCCACATGATGATACTTTCGTCGTAAGAGCCGGAAACAATGCGGGCCCAACTGCTCCCTCCACCGCCCGGGGGTATTTTGGCTCCTAGGGCCATTATGTCATTGGGGTTTCTGGACCCGGAGCTTCTTACAGGGCACGATCTCTGTTGGCGCCGAACCGAAGAGCTAGATTCAGGAATGTCGCCGCGGAGTCGAGCCTTCCAATATTGAGTGTCTACCGCCATTGCCTCAAGCCGAAGTGTCTCCTCCGCTCCAGGTGGATCCCCAAAACCTGCCTGGACGGTTCGTACGAGGCCATGGTGTCCGTGCAAGCACGCAACCTCAGCCCCTGAGGCATGGTCATATATCCGTACAGTGTCATCATTGCTGCCGCTTACTATTCGCCGACTATCGAACTGGACGCACGCGATGCCTTTCTTGTGGCCAATCAAAGTTTTCAAGCAGGCTCCGTTGTGTATATCCCATACTTTGATTAAACGATCCCCAGAGGCAGAGACAATTTCATTTTCATCTATCTGAATCGCATTTACGGCGGCACCATGACCGTCCAGGGTCATAAGTAGTGAGTAAGGTGGCAGCGTTTTGATCTGTTGATTGGCGATTTGGGCTTCCAATGTGCTAGGAGATATCAAGGATGTGTCAACAATATACGTTGGATATCGCACACCAGCACCATTAAAAAAGGAGGGATAATCTTTGTCCATCGGACTAAGCTCGCGGCGGTTCCAAACTTTTATTAATTTATCTTTCGAGCATGTAACCAAAAATCGTTTATCGAATCGTAGGTTCAATACCGAGTCCTGATGGGCATTGGCGAGCTCATTGATTTTTTCACCCGTGGAAAACCGCCAAACTATGACGCTCCTATCGCTACTCCCAGATATGATGATATCTTCTTCCGCACTCGGATCGAATTGCAAACAGAGAACTGATTTACTGTGTGCTACCAAAGGACTCCCTCTGAGCCTTCTTGTTTCCAAATTCCAGACTCTCACTGTTTTGTCGCGGCTTCCACTGACAAGCCATTTCCCGGAGAATTGAATTGTATATACACACTCCGTATGCGCCTCTGAAGGGTAGGCTGGGTGAGGAAGTTGAAAATTAACAAACCGGCCCTTCCTCCAGTTATCTTCCAGTTTTTGTCTTTGTCTGTATAGATATGGCCAGTTCAACCGGCTTGTACCATTAATTGTCCTCAAGAGATGTGGGGCCTTCGCTTGGGGGTTATAATTCGTCAGCGGTGAGTGAAACGATGGGTATCTTGCGGAGCTATCCGCCCGACCAGATTTGTGGGTGAACTGTACGCTGCTAAAATCTATAGATTGCGGAGGCCGGCTTTGATCTGGCGATGACCCAATCGAGTGATCATCATAACTAGCATCGCGCATCTCGTGGTCACCCTCGGCATCAGGTAGGGTATTCATCTCGAAGGCAGAAGTACCATCGGCTTCAACCGTCTCATGCTGCTCACTCCATGGGGGGCTTGCGTCCTGCATATTATTATTACCAACGCGAGATCCTCTTCTCGAATCGATCCAGCCTGAGGGAACGCGCTTTTTTAGCTTTGGCTGCCCCATATCTGTATCTGAACGCCTCGTTCTTGACTTTCGGTTGTGCGAAAAGGGTGGCTTCGAAAGAGATTGTTCGAAAGTTCGAACTGCGTCCATGTCGAAACGCCATCCTTCTTGAATATAAAGATGCCTCCACAGTCGTGAATCTATAATTCTCTCTCTCCAAGCTCTGGACGCAAGTGCTGCAGTAAGCAGTGTAGACGTGTCGAGATATGAGAATATTTCCGAAGTGATTTCCGGGGGAAGTTTGAGAACAGGGTCCATATGGAGAAGTGGAGTTAGTCGATCAACGACTGAGGAAACTGTCGAGGTACGCAAGGTTCTCAATATGCTATAAGCCAATTCTGCGGCAAGGTCAGCATGATTTTACTCCGCAAAAAGGCGTTGAAGGAGACGGGAAAAGTGTTACCTGCTCTGTCGGCTTCGCTATGTGCAAGAATCCAGCTAGGTAGACTTACGCCTTCGTCTGATGTTTGAGCCACTTCATTTTCTGCTTGGCTTCTAGTTTCATCAGAGTAACCCTCATCCAGCTTGACAGAACCTAGCGCAGATGGAGGGGCGAATTCTCCACGGTATTTTCCGCCTGGTAATTTCGGTATATGTGCGGCGCCTCCTGCTGCTGCTGCTGTTGCTGCTGCTGCGGAATCGCGTTCCATGAGACTGTCACCCTGGCGATAACAGAGATTTGGCGAGCTGTAAGACCAAGACGGCGAGAACGGTGTGGGACACTGATGAGTATATGGAATCGATGACCATACAACCAGGTCCGTAGGCTAGGGTAGGAGCTAATAAATTCTTGGTCAAAGCTCGAGGAAAGTTTGGGAGGCAAGAGGATTGTCGCAAAGCAAGTCTATTATCATTAGCATTTGGCTCGCTTTGTTTTGGGTTGCCGCCATGCGTCAAAAAGAGAAAGGCTCCGAGAGAACACATACAAAGAACAATAATGGGATTATGCGACGCTACGTAGTAATAAGTGTCGAGTGCAGCCAGTCAGGTTTTAGATGAGTTTCTAGTCATAGTTGATGTATGCAGCATATCTCGACCCACCTCGAAACTCGTATAGACAGGAAACATGCGACGAAGCGTCTTCTTCGTGTTGACACCGGGTGATGGTGGTGGTCGTCGTCGTGGTCGTCGTCGTGGTCGTCGTCGTGAGTGCAGCTGCGACAGATACGAAATTCTACGTGCAATGGCCAAACATTGTGCCGAATGCGGCGGCTAGTTTTCCAGGTTCGAGGGAGAGAGCTGGCTGAGTCATCTCATCAGGTGATTAGGTTGTGAGAGCCCTAGGTTGAACATGGTTAGTGTTGTTCTGACGTCGGGATCTATCTAGTGGCTAGCGGCTGCTAAAATGGATGTGTGTGGGTGGGTCACGTGGGATAGGGCTTGTGTAACCTTGGAACCCAAGCGCTTCCATGTGCTGAGTCAACCATCCACCTGGAACACCCAGCCGCCATTCTCAATACAGACTAGCGCGCCGAGGGTCTGCAAGAGCCGACGATCTCCAAAGCGTAACTCCTGAAACATCACTACACACTCCAACCACCCTCCAGCCTATCTCTGGCGCCCGTGCCGTTGCGTTTGCCCACTGTTCATACAACCATCTTTTCATTTCTTTCGTCAAGTCGTCGTTCTTTCATTCTGCCAGATCAGACATCTAGTTTTCGTGTGGTATTTGGAGGTAGGTTCTCGTTTTCCCAGCCCCCCCTTCATCTTTCCGTATTGATGTCTCCTACCCTAATCTTAAAACAATACGTTCAACCGAAGGCCAAAACTCTGACACTGACTGGTTTCTCCGAAAGCAATCACTTTAGATCGTCCTTATCTGTACCCGTATTACTGCGGCCCCGAACATTCCTTTTAGTTGTTATCTCTTCTCTCCGGAAGAAAGGTGGATATCTCTGCCAACCCGCATCGCAACTGAGATAGCCAGTGTTCACCGCCCGAAATTCGGTTCTTTCCTATCGTCCTAATTTCCTCTTGAGCATCTTTGGTCTCGTTTTTGAACGCATCAAAGTTGCCGACAACCCATGGTCTCGGTTCCTGAAAAGGACCAGGCAGACTGGCCACTGAACTTGATTTGATATAAAAGAACCCACGCCAAACATTTCCATAGTCGGACAATATGGACACCACTACGGCTAATGGAGGGCCCGTTATGGCTGAGGATAATATCATCAATCGAAGAGGGGGCGAATCACTATTCCAGAGCTGTGCAAGCCTCAAAAAGAGACTCACTGAAGTGCCCGGTTTCGAGGCCCATCTCGCAGAAATGGAAAAGATGGACAAAGCTGAGGATGCGATAGATCCTGTTGCATCTGTATGGAGATGTCTGAGGCAAGGGTACCCGCTGATGACTATCTTCAACGCCTCTAACCCTGCAGAACCCCTTACTATCGACACTGATAAAGTACCTGAGGCGAGGCGACCGAAAGCAGCCGCTTTCAAGTTTCTACAAGCTTGCCTTCAGGATTTAGAGTTTCCGCAGCAGGACTGTTTCCTTATCACCGATCTTTATGGAGAAAACACCACGGGCTTTGTGAAGGTGGATACCCCTCGTCTTAGCGCAGAAATAGTTGCTCCTCCTTGAAGCGAAATGCTAACTTGATTTTTAAAGGTCATCAAAATGGTTAGTCGTGTTCTGGATATTCTCGAAATGCGGGGCCAACTTTATCAAACTTCTACAGCGAGTGCAGTACCACACCAAGGGGAAAAGGTCAAGCTGACCCGCAAGGAGCATATTTTGAAAGAGTTGTTGGAAACCGAAAGAGACTACGTCCACCACCTTCAAAATTTGCAGGCGCTGAAAAAGGAATTGGAAGAAACAGGTGCCTTAAATGGCGACTCAAGTCACCAGATTTTTCTAAATCTCAATAACCTTCTTGACTTTGCGCAACGATTTCTTATTAGAATGGAGCAACACAACGCCCTTCCCGAAGATATGCAAAACTGGGGTGAGCTATTCATCCAACACCAGGAAGGGTTTCGCCAATATGAGCCTTTTATTGCCAACCAACTCCGATGCGATGCTGTCTGCCAAAAGGAATGGGACAAAATCAAGGCGGCGCCACGCTCAGTTGACCTCCAGCAAATGGTGGCACAGCCATCTACTCTCAACGGTTTTTTTGTCAAACCATTTCAACGCCTGACTAAATATCCCCTAATGCTCATGGTAAGCCTTAATGGCTTCTTTTTAAAACTCCAATTCTTGCGACATGGCGCTTAAATTCTAACTATATTAGGAACTTAAAAAACAAACCGATCGCGAAGACCTTATTGCCGACGTTGCCACCGCCATCGACATAGTTCAGACGGTTTTAGATCGAGCTAATCATGCAGTTGATAAAGAACACCTTGCCAACGCCGTTGACGATCTCGCCTCTCGAGTTGATGACTGGAAAGCGCTCAATGTTGAGATATTTGGGGAGCTACTACGATTTGGTACTTTCACGGTGTTGAAGGCAGATGTAGGCAGAGATGCAGAAAGAGAGGTTCGTACATCTCTTACAGCTTATAATGCCCGACTTCGGCCCGCTTCACAACGCCGGCTTTCTTTCCATAGAGGCCCAATAAGAGTTCGCCTGCGTCTATTGTATACCCTTCCTTTGGCCCCTGATCAAGCCTTTCACAAAAAGCTACCTGGAGTATATTTACCCTTTGGGACTCCATCCCAGGATCTGTCCCCTCATTGGCCTGAGTCGACGGCTCTCACGTGGAGATCAAAGTTTCATTCTGCGTCATTAAAATGGATCAGCCTCCCTACTCCTAGCAAGCGTTCCCCGCCTTATCTGTCTCCAAGTTCCACTAGACAAGGCCCGCTCACCTTGCAGCCTAACACTTCTATGGAGCACATTTCCTCTTGTCCGTCAGGTGGCGAA